GTTGAAAAACACTGGACTAGAGCAGCAGTGTCAAAGAAAATTTTATTTTAGGTCACATCAAGATCATGAATGTTTATGAATGTTGTGGCAAATTGTATTAATAAAATAGAAGAAACTGTTAAAAATATTAACCAATAGTAGCGTCTGCATTCAACATTTTTTTCACGTGGATCAGTCCCTCCAGGATTTTATAATTATTTTTTGTGAGTTTTTGCGATCAAAACCACAGATTGCGCTATTTTAGAAATATTTGCAAGGAATTTTGCGATATTACCTTTGACCGATAGGACTTTTTGTCACTTGCAGTCTATAACCTGACATCAAGTAACACTGAGGAACCACTGTAAGAAACAACATCACGCTTAAACATGATGTTTTTGAGATTAACACAATCCGACCGTACATTTTGGTCTTCAGATTTATGTTGCTTCACTCCCCAGAGGTTTTATCTGTGCACTCTTCATCCTACCTTCAACAGGCCTAACACGGAGGTGCAATAAAAAACCAACAATGCAAAGCAGCGTATGAGGAGAGAATGCAGTAGTGAAATGTTTGTATGAACTGGTGGTTTCAGGGCTGTGGATGCTTCAGCGCCAAGCTGAGGTTTTTGGAGCATCGTCAGCAGAGGATCTCAGAGGTCCGAGTCAAGTACAACAGACTGAGGAGAGAACTGGAGCACGCCAAACACAACCTCATGCTGGAGCCCGCCAAGTGGAACCAAGAGTGTCAGTAAAAATGTCTCTGGTTTCTGTTCAGTGTTATCAAGGAAGAGTATCTTTTGTGATCTTGCCTGTCACAATTGTTCTAGTAATTATCGTTATAAATGATATTATTTTGATAATGGCATTATAATGCAAGTTTGCCCTTTAAACTTTAATTTTGTAAAGGAAAAAAAAACAAAACACTGGAAGACATTTAAACAGCCATAATAAAACACAACAACCATAAACAATAAACAAAAAGGAAATAAAAACTGGAGACGCACTGATCCAATATTAATATCTGTTCCCCTATTGAAAGAAAATTATAGATCGAGTATCCAGAAGGGCAGATCTGTTCAGTCTAACTCTACGTTGTGTGCTGAGAAAAGTCAGGCTTTATTTATTTTACATTATATCTAGAATAACTATATGGACTTTCTGAACCATTTGAAAAGTTTGTTGCAGTTTATTTTTATATGCTTGACCAAGGTAGTCAAAATATTATTTTGGTCAGTTTCAGTTTCTTTGTCATTTATTTTTCATTGGCTGCTCTACTCCTAATTGCACTGACTGAACAAATTAAAGTTGTTTTTGCATGTTTGACCAAGCTCGTGAAGCTATTGGTTTATTTCAATGTACTGTACTGGTGTAGAGTTGTCAAATTTGTATTTCAGTATTTTTAAGTTTGTGTTTTTAAAAAAAGAAAGAGTCAATTCATCACTGATTTTCTATATCGGATCGGTATTGGCCGATACTAAACCTCAGATATCGGCATAGATATTAGAAGTGAAAAAAAGTGAATCAGTGCATTTCTAATAAAAACCATAAATATAAGAGGCTACAATGTCTCTGTAAAAAAAAAAAAAAAACTTCAAATAATATAAATGATTAGAATGGAAGTTATTCATGCGTTTAATTGATTAGTTGCTTATTACGACTTAAATGTGGCATTGTCATCAGCTGAACAGCACAGCCCTGTTCAACCTCTCAGATAGAGTTTTTGACAATTACATCAGTCGATTTGAATTATTTATTAAACACCACCAGGGGTGAATTGTTATGGAAGGAGAAAGCTGTCAATGAATCATGGGTATTGGGTTATTAAAGAGTGGCTCACTTACACTTTAAGTATTCAATCAGTCAATCAATCAATCAAATTTTATTTGTATAGCACATTTCAGCAGCAAGGCATTTCAAAGTGCTTTACATAATTAAAATTAAAAACAGCATGTGAGAAAGAGATTTAAAAAACATAAGTAAAACGTAAACAGTGAGAAAGAAAAATAAAAAGCTGTATAACTTTAGTTGAGACGCCGTCAACTGGGACTCCAACCCTTTGGACTTTAGTCAAAACGCCGTTTGACAAGGACTCTAACCTCTCGGACTTTAGTCAAAACGCCGTTTGACAAGGACTCTAACCTCTCTGACTTTAGTCAAAACGCCGTTTGACAAGGACTCTAACCTCTCGGACTTTAGTCAAGAGTATTATTGCCCAGTGAGCATTTTAACACAAACTCAGAAGAAATATAAAGGATGGGCTATTTTTTATTTTTTTTGCAAATATGAATGGAGAAATCATAACTTTCTTATAGAGATTAAGCATCAAACTGTTATATTTCATGCAATGGTTACATAAAATGAGATGTAAGCAGCAGAACATTTTGAAACTAGAGTAGTGGTAATAATTTATGACTTCTACATTTTTAAGAAGGCATACAAAAAACAAACTGTAAACAATATGAAATAACAGATAAAATTTGATTTGTTTAAAAAAAATCTATTTAAAAAAAGGAAAAGCAATTCAAACTTGCTACAACACTAATTAGCCTGACTACACAGAACAACTAAATTCATTTTTAAATAAATACTATGCAGAACTTCAAAGTCTCTCGGGTGGCACAGTTTGCTTATGGTCTGCCTGTAAAATAAAAGGACTTTTACTGATTTAACTGGTCAAGATGATAAGAAATGTGCCTTACGAAGGCAGGACATCATCTTAAAAAATAAATAAATGAATTTAATTAAATGGGACATTTTTTCAGTTCAAGAAAAGGTAAAAGAAATTATGAAATCACCCTGTAAATTGCTCTTCTGAAACAAATACCTGCAAAAGGTTGATAATGCAAATATAAAACCAGAAAGGATTGTGATTGACAGCGCTAAGACCCACCTCCTGGCTCTGATTGGTTTTTTTCTAGTTGGCAGTGGGAGAAGGCAGAGAAACTCAAATTTTTTCACAGATTATCTGTCTGCTACCATACCAGTTTCAACAAATATGTAAAAACAATATATTTTTTTTTTATAAAAGTTATATATAACAGATTTGAAATGGTACAGCAGCACAAATACAGATATATTAGTAACTGTGGTCAGCGTCAGACATTAAGTGTCACCTTGTTGTCCCTCTCCAGTCGACGTGTGGCAGACTTTCCAGGTGGACTCTCTGGGGCACCTGGAGGCCCTTGAGGAAGTCACGGCTCGGCTGGAAAACAGGGTCAACCTCTGCAAGGCCAACACCATGATGGTCACCTGCTTCGATGGGTCCACCAGGAGGCGCCGCAAGAAGCGACGAAAAGCACAGCAGCAGCAGAAAACCTTGAAGCAATTCTAGCTTGAGAAGTTGGCTGATTTATTCCTTTTTAAAATGACCTTAAACCTGAGCAATTAAAACTGAGATTATTGCTGAATCTTATTTCAAATAAGTCTGATGGTTTTAAATTAGTCACGGCATAATGCGGAAGGAAATTTCCAGTCACCAGACTCACAGGCCCTTTAGAAGATTACAAGCACTTATCAAACACATTATACTTCTATTAACATTGGCCTTTTAATAACTAATTTTAACCATTGTTTTGCACTGATATTTGGTCAAATATTCCTTAGGAAGTTTCAGACAAACTAAATATTTTAGTGACCATCTGCAAGGGTTAGGCAGAATTCTGGCTGCATCTTTGACAGTCAATGGGGAATTGGTGATCCCATAAGTTGCATAGGTGTTCCCCTTTTTTTTTAAGTGTAGGGAGACTAGGTTACCTGCTCTGTGTGGGACTTCACTGCAATTATCCCTTTATGTTCGGCATCTTAGGGTGCATTCACACCAAACAAACTAATCTGCTTTAGTTTGTTTGCCTAGAAAGTCAGTTGTTTTGGGTTGGTGTGAAGGCTTAATCAAACTTTGATGTGGAGCAAAAAAGCTAACTGTGGTCCGCCTCAGAAGCTCCATCTCATTTCAGTTGAAGTGAAGTCTTGTGAAGTTTGAATACAAATGTGAACATCAAGCGGACCATAGATAGCTCCAAAAGCAGGAAGTGGACCATAGCGAAGGGCATTCTGGGTAAATATAACCAAAACAAACGCGTGTGTCCAGCACTAGCGGGAGAAATGGCTCATGGTCTTTTGCTAAAGACAAAAGAGGAATCCTACAACCACTAAAATCTGACTCCAATCTACTTTTGTTTACATTTATGAGTTTTTCATGTTGTTTTCTACAGTAGTTCTAGGAAACTATTTTAATAAACGGTGGTCAAATATTCAGGCGGAATTGTGCTGGGAATTTGTTGGTAGCTATAAAAAGCATGTGGTTCCTCTGCACTTTAGTAAAGGGCTATTTACCCAGATATTAGTATATATAAGCCTGTAGGAATAAATTTGAACTTTGTGAAAGAATGGAAATCTTAATAATTTTTTTATAATTAAATTCATTGAGGTCATGTTATCAGTCCATCCTGGAAAACAACAGTAGAAAAGAATCAGTAAACTGCCTGTAAACTTCTGACTGGTGCTGTGGATAACACATTGTTCTACTGTCTCCTAAACAAAGACAGAATATGTCTTTTGTTCTGCTAGTATTTTCCAGAATTTGTGCTAGCTACTTTACTTCAGTAACATAAATGTATGCTAGCTATGGGAGTCGCTATAGCATACATTTTAGCTACAGAAATAGCTAGTAAATTCTAGTAAATTGTATGTCTACAATTTACAAGTTAGAAATATTCTAGGTATGTTTGTAGCTAGCATACAGAAGCAGCTAGCTACTTCTGTTGCTAGCATAACTCTTTTGAGCCTTTCCTGTGCTGAATATTAAAAACGTCATCATCATGATGCAAGACCAGAAACCAATGATTCAAAGTCAGCATTTAAGTTGGAGATTTTTTTTTTTTACAATGAACACCACAGACAATTAACATCTGCCACACTACCTGCTGCACAGAAAATCAGAACCAAAAATAAAGACTGGCTTGTTTTGTTGTTTTTGTACATTGTTAATATTCTGGACACACTTTTTCTTTGATTAATTTGGTGAGGACCTTCACTGTACGCATATACCTCCACCAAACAAAAACACTTCAGCCATTTTGGACAAGTCGTGACATTTTTGAATGAGAGGATTCTAGATCTTCACTGTTATTTTCCTGTCTTTTTTTTTTTTTTTTTTTTTAAGGAAATACTCTATCACCCTTGGTGCCATTTTGTATATACAATAGACTTTTTTTGGTGCTGACACTGTATGAATTACGCCTCTTATTTAAAGCTCATGCGAAGGACAACAAATGGTTTAACTAAGAACAATCCGAGACTGAGGACAACACTGAGTTTGTTGGAGTTACTACCTACTGAAACATTAATGTGAATTCTCTCCTACCTGTGGTCTTGGATAAATAAACGGACACTTTAAATGCGTCGGTAAATAATTTTAAAACAGTGGATTCTACTTCCAGCTTGACAAGAAGAAAAAAACTTCTTCTGATGTCGCCACTCGCAAGGAGCTCTCAGCCAATCCCAGAGGAGGAATGGAAGCTCTGTAATTGGTGAGAAATGCTGTAAAAAGGTGAAACACATGTGACGTGTTTCATGTAAAGCATATGAATCAGCATGTTGTTGGTAACTTTGAAAAAATGACTACAGCTCGATTTATTCTTCAATTAGGGAAAAAAATAAAGTCATGACACTGTAGTCTCTGTTTCAATTGCGTCTGTATTGTGATTAGAAATGAAATGCTTCGTAATGGATGGATATTTATGTACTGTGTTTTTTGCAGAAGGAAAAAGCAGTAGTGAAGCAGAAATAATTAGATGAATTCCTGGCAGAGAGGGTTTTCCAGTCTGTAGATAGAGAAGAGGTAATGAGGCCAAGCAGAGTTCAGCCTTGAAGCAACCCAATTAGAAAGTCAGCAGAAAGGAGGAAAGAAGCAGGAAAGTTGCACACACAAACACAGATACGTCTGCTTCTTTAACAGAGCCATTCTTCTTTTTCTGCTTCATTTATTTATTGTTCTGCTACGTCTGGGAAGAACAAAACAGATCATAGCTATCTGTGTTGAGAACTGCATGCAGGAAACTCTGGTTAACTGAATACACGAGGGTCCTGACTGAGTCGGGAAAAACGTGGAATCTGATTTAAGTGTTTCTAATAACAAAAATAAAATAACCCATTTTTCCTCTAGAGATTTATTCTGTTTTCCTTTGTTTGTCATGAATCATCCGAAAAATCACAAAAAAGTAAGGTGAGTAAGTGCAAAATGTAGCTTTCATGAGATTATTTAATTTATTGAAGAGAGAAACACATCCAAACCATCATGGTCTTATGTCAAACTGTATTTAGATTACTGCCACAAAAGTGGCCTCAGGAAATAATTTAAATAAGACAATATGAAGTAGGCTAAAAATTCTCCAAAAAGTAACTTACTATGGCATATTATGTGGAAATTCAAGAACAGATGAAAAACAAAGCCATTGACGTTGAGTCTTGAAGACACAAATATATATTTTTTCTATCTGAACAATGATGTTACCCTTAAGTTTAAACTTGTTGACAACAAAAAGTGCTTTTTATTTTGTTTTTATTTAACCTTTTGTACTTTTGTTTCTGCTCTTTTCTGCTTTCTTTTCAGGATAACAAAAAAGACATTTCCTTCTTGTCTCATGCCATTATTACCTCCAGATTGGCGATGACCAATCTTTGCCCAAGATTGGCTATCGCAGTACAAATAATACATCTGTTCATCTACAGAGAACAGGGATCTGCCATAGATACCGTGTTTGCTGCCTGATCGTTCAAGAAGATCTCAGAAGAGACCCGAATGGGAACCTGTGTACCTGAGAGGGAACATTGTATCGCCTGCAGTTTAAAACTGTAAAAACAGACAATAATTTTCAAGTAGGACTGAATGGACTGAATGCTGTTGCCACAATAGCGAAGGTTTCTAAGTTTTGAACATAAAAATGTGTTTATTTTTTATGTGTTGAAATTGTGTAAATCATCAGTGTAAAGTACTTCCTGGTTTGCAGGCTTTGACAGCTGATTTTATTGTCATTGTTGTAGGGATAAAACTGGATGATTTCAAATTTCATGATTCAGCAAGCAGAAGGAGGGTCTGGAGTTAGTTCATACAGCTTCTTTTATCTTTGGAAAATATTAACATGAACATCTGATTTTTACTTTTGCAAAATTTACCAACTGTAAATTTCCTCAGTCTAAGCAGGTGAGCAGTATTCCCAAACAGCTTATGTTTTATAAACAATAGTTAATTTGGTGTCAAGAGATGAGCAATTTTTTTTTCTGGTAACGATCTGCCACGAAGTATAAATCAGATTTTTACTTTTGTGTTGAATGTCTGTTTTATAAAATATTCACCACCAATGACAAAAAAAAAAAAAAAAAAAATAATTTTTTTAAAAAATTAATAACTTGAACGGTTTTTTTAAGGAGGAAAAAAAAAAAAGGTTTTTAAA